AAGGCAAGATGGAATCCAGTGCCGGACGGTGTGGTTCAGACTGTAAGTGCTAAAGGAATTTAGATAGAAGAGATGATTACACGGGGATGAGCAGTCAGGGAAGACTTTATAAAGGGGGTGGGATTTGAACAGGTGAAGAAGAGGGTGGCTGGGTCAACAGCTATTTAACAAGCCCAGGAGGGGGGGGCTTTCTGGGTTGTGGTCAGGAGCTCTCGGGCTTTTCTGAGGACCATAGCACCTTTCCTTCCCCTCATTTCCAACAAGTCTCTACCTTTGACCTTCTCTTACTGGAGCTGAGAAAATTCCAGTCAGAAAACACTGCATTCTTTTAAGCTTAGTACTTCTGGTTCTAATCACACCAGCTTGCAGTGTGACATTGGGAAAGTCACTGTCCCTCTCAACGCCAGTTTCTTCATCTGTGAAATGAGAGGGTTGGGCTCGGTGATCTGAAGGTCCCTGCCAGCTCCAGCGTGCTGGGATTCTGTGTCATTAAATGTGGACAAGAAAGAGAATCATAGGTTTGGCAGTGTTTAAGGAAAACTTCTTGGGAGGATGAGATGACCTGAGTTAGGCTGGAATAAAAGGTGCAGTTTTGATTAGCGTGGAGGTGGAAATGACCATGGTTTGTTTGAAGGATCATATGTGGATTCTTTTCACCAGATGATGGACTTGTGAGCATCAAAACAGAGAGTCAAGTGAATGAGGCACTTCCAAAGCAGCTAGACTTGGGGCAGGTCTCCAGCGAAGCAGAGCACACAGTGTCTGAAGAAGGCAGAGAAGACAGGGCTGAGCCAAGTGAGCACCCCCTCCCTGGTCTGCCAAAGGGTCGAGTGAGGGAGAAGCCTCCGCCCCCTGCTGCCAGTGAGCCTCCTCGCATCCTCCCACGCCGGAGAGAGCGGACCTTCCCATGTCCAGACTGTGGTCAGAGCTTCAGGCTGAAGATCAACCTGACCATTCACCAGCGGAGCCACTTGGAGGATGAGGACTGGGCGGCCCAGGGCAGCTGGCCAGACACATGGGGAGGGACTTCTGCCTCCTTGGAGCCAGGTGAGGTGGTGGTTCCTGGCCCCATCATCCAGTGGCTCCCTGACGAGGCAGAGAGCCACCAGGCCCTGGCTGGGAGGCCATGCCAGGAGCGGCGGCCTTCATCCAACCGGACGTCCAGGCTTTACCACTGCAGCGAGTGCCTGCGCTTGTTTGAGCAGCGGAAGAGCCTTTTGCTACACCAGCGCTTGCACACAGGCACCAGCCGGGGCTGTCCCACTTGCTCCTATTGTGGCAAGGGTTTCCGGCGACCCTCAGATTTATTCCGGCATCAGCGTATCCATACTGGTGAACGGCCCTACCAGTGCTCTGAGTGTGGTAGGACTTTCAATCGCAACCACCACTTGGCTGTCCACATGCAAACCCACTCCAGAAAGCATCAGGACAGTCCTCACTGTGCCAAAAAAGCGAGCCTGGCCCTGCCTCGCCCCAGCCGTGCTGAGGAAGGTTGAGCCCAAAGGGCCCCTGGGGTGGGCCAAGCTCCTCACCTTCCAGTAGGGCCCTCCTGCGCCTCTAGTGGCAAGAGCCTGCTATCTTCATGCTGCTACTCAGCATGGAGAATGGCAAAGCCCATTATCTCCACCTGCCTGGCATTGTTCCCTCTGTTTGGCAGAGCTCTTGCCCTAGGACAGTTTAGGGAAGTTTTTCATTCCTTTGTGCTAGAACATTGGGCAGGTGGTACATAATTGGAATCATGAGTGTGGTCAGACACCTACATTTTCTATTCTCCAAGTCTGGTATCTGTTCCTTAGGGTCACTGAACCTGGAGGATCAAAAGAAATGGGCTCTTGGGGGAACGGGGACCTTATCACACAATTGGTAGGCTGGGACCTAGATGTGCTAATTGGCCCCTCTCACAAGCCCCACTCTAACCCACCTTGGCACTTCCTCACTCCCCTTCCGTGGACTTCCCACTGGAGCTCTGAAATGGGCCCAGGTGCTATTTTGTATACTCAGGCCTCCAGAGCAATGTGCATTTGGGTTTATAGTTTCCCTGCAGAGAATCACTGTCATGATTTTTCCTTTTTTGTTGTTCTGATCTGTTTGTCTTGAATTTCTTTTTCCAATGGAGTTTTTTTTTTATTGCTTGCATAAGTAGTCTGAGTTTATCTGTAAACAGTATTAGGAGGGATGTGGTAGAACTTAACACACAGTGCCTCTGGGTGTGTGTGTGTGTGTGTGTGTGTGTGTAGAGTGAGAGGAGAGAGAAGTTGCCATGCAGTGGCTCTGAGTGTGCATGTAAGTAAAGAAAGGTTAACACACAGTACATTTGGCTCTGTATGTATATATTTATATATGTATGTGTAAACACATATGTACTCTGTGTATGCACACAAATGTCTGTATATTTGTATATGTGTATATACATCCACACAAGTGCACACCCACACATAGGAAGCTCATAAGAAGTTTCAGTCTTTTAAGAAGACTGAACCTTGAGCTAGCTAGGATTTTAGAGCCTGTAATTACTTTCCTCAGGCCACCAGAGTAGGTGTGGCATTTGTCCAGCATTTTCCCTAACTTTTTTATCCAAAGTTCTTCTACATCTCTACTGGCAATAATTATCTTACATTTCTTTAGCTCTTTATGGTTTATAAAGTGCTGTGCGCACACACATCTGAGGTATCTGAGGCAAGGATCATCATCCTCCTTTTACAGACATGATATAGATGGATGAGGTTCAGGGTAGCCTGGCTCAATTGGACGTTCAAATTTGTTTCTGCCAGTGTTTTTTTCATTATACAATGGTAGTATTATTTCATCCAAATTTGACTTGTGCTCTTATGGAAAAAACAGAAAAAATCCAGTTCCCCTGCTCATGTGTAATGTGATTCTAGCCAAACATCTATCTCTATGGATAACAAAAAATTAGCTTGGGAGGTAAAAACCCCATCCTCCTCATCTAGCAGAGAGGAAGGCAGCTGAGCTGGCTATCAATGAGCTTTGTTTGAAAATTTTACTTATCTCTCAAAAGGAAAAAAAAGCAAAAACAGACACACCTGTTCTGGTGCATATTGACTCTATTGATTAGTTATTCCAACTCATTCATCACAGGTAGAAGTAGAATGAGTCCAAACTGGGACAACGAATGCTAGAGTTTCCCCTTTGCTGTTTGGGAAAATGACCAGATTTCTCTGGGTCACAGTTTTTTGATCTGTTGGTTGGGGAAGATAATTCTTTTCGTGCCTTTTTTTTTGGGGGGGGGAGGTGATTATTAGGCTGCTATAAGCTAATAAATATAAAAGCATTGGGGGGAGGTAAAGCTCACTTTTTGAGGATTCACTCCCACCTCAAAGTACCCATACTCATTTCCTTATCCTCCTCCTTTCCCAATCAAAATTTGTTCTTAGGAATAACCATGGAAGAATAGCTGATAAAACTTAACATGTTTGTATTTTGCAACTGGGGACAAAACCTTTTGTAAAAGCTAACTCTTCAAATTTTAGACACCAACCAGCAGCCACTTAAGGAAGTAATTTGGCAACTTTGATTTCAAATATGGATGGCTTCCTACTTCATCTATGCATGAGAGGTCTTCAGTAAGGGAATTATTAAAAAACCCTAGAGTTAGGGGGGGCTGCTATGAAAAGCAGCCTCTGTTCAGGTAAAGCCTTTTTCTTGATAGTGGCACCAGCTACCTCCAGCCCCTTCCTTGTGTGTTGTGGGAGGAATCAGTTGTGAATCTCCCATTTGTACTTTTTGCTCTTGAACCGCTGGATGGACACACACATACACACACACACACATTCTTCCCCTTTCCCCTGCCCCTCCACCCCACCCCCGTGTTCCCTCTGAGAGGCTACCGTGGGGATTTGGAAGATGAAATCTGTCCTAAAGTCCCTTTATTGGGGGGATGGGGGGAGGGAGATAGATCATAAAATGGCTGAAGCGCCTTCCTTTCCCTCTGCCTACAGGAGAGGGGCCATCCACAGGGTTCACTCGAGCTCCACCACGGTTTTGGGAAAGGAAGTAATGTTGCTTTTTTGCTGAAGAGAGATGTAACCTCCTCAAATTGTGGCATTTGGGCAGGAAGCGGTGCAGCCACTAATCGCGGGGTTTAGGTGATAAGACTGATAGTTGGGGGCGGGGGAGGGGTATTTCCTCTTGGAACCTCAGCAGTAAAGTGGTTTCTCAGGGTGAAGTTCCTGTTGTACCTCCTGGGCCTGCTTTGCAAATGCTGGTTTGGGCCCCCAAACACCTTCCTTATCCTTTAACCTCCCCTGCATATAGATGAACTAGGAGATAGTGCTGCATGGACCCCCACATTGTGCTTAACGAGTACTTGTGTGTACAAGAGGATTTACCAAGCACTCAACCTCTCTTCTATTTCCCGCTGGCCGGGGCCTTGTAGCGAGCATGTCATAAGAGCATATGGAAGAAGGAACCAGCAAACTGTTCAAGGGACGGGGCATCATGGAGGAGGTGGAATTGGACTTGGGCCTTCTGGAATAAATAGGGCGTCGAGGTTAGGGTTAGCCGGGTGTGGGTGTCCTAGAGGCAGATGTTGATCCATCATGATTAGCTGCTCAGACAAGAAATGGTTCCGGATCACTATAGCACTTGGAGGACTGCCCGTGTGTGTGTTGGGGAACGGGGTCCTCCTGGACGCCCATAGTCCAGCCGACCTCCGAGGGCTGGTCTGTCTTGTACAGGGCTCCCAAACGTCTCCGTGTCGTTTTTAGCTTGATAGACTCTAATAAGCTTAACCTGGCACGAAGACTCTGGGACCCCAGTGGAGTGCCAAAAGGGTGGTGCAGGCGGCACCTGCAAACGGCTGCGCCCAGAGCCGGGAGGGCATTGCCCTGGGGGCCCGGCTCCGAGCACTTAACTGGCTACCGCGGCTAGCGGCCCCAAGGACACTGACGGAGCCCGCGTGGGGGCCGCCTTCCTGCTGTTCGCTCCTACGGGCCTTGGGGGCCGCTGTGCGCTCCGCGGCCGGGAGGAAGCGCGGAGCTTTTCTCCTTCCCCAGCCAGCCAATGAAAGGGCTGAGCTCCCAGCATGCAGTGGTTATCAACACGGCGGCAGCTGCAGCAGCTGTGCGGCTCGCGCTGCAGAGAAGCAGGAGCGGGAGCCGAAACCAGGCCGGGGCGCAGGTGGTGCAGAGCCGGGGCCGGACGGAGCTAAGCGCGGGAGGGCCCGATTAAGCCGAGCCGAGCCTGAGGCTGAGGAGCCCGAGCTGAGCGCGAGGCCGGACGGCGGAGGCGGAGGCAGCCCAGATCGGGGCCGGCCCTCTGGGAGCTCAGGGCGGCCGGGACCCCCGCTCGGCTTTTTGGATCCGCGCCCTCCCCGCTGACGGCTCCAAAGCCCAGCTTGGTCAGCGGAAGCCCCCGTGTGGGAGGGCCGGACCGCTCCGGAGCCTGCTCGTCCGCGCCGCAGTCTCCCCGGGGCCTGGGAACGAGACCAAGGGCCATGGCCGAGGCGGCCCCTGCCCCGGTGAGAGACCCCTTCCCCCTGTCCACAGCCCGGGTGTGCGAGAAAGATGCTCCCCACCCCGGGGCCGCGGGCCTAGCTTCTCAGAGTGAGGCCGGGGCATCGCTGCAGCCCCCCTCAAGTCAGGGTCGAGGCCTGAGGTCACAGGGCCAATTAGGGGCCAGTTTGCACGAGTTTCCTCAGGAGGAGGGGCCCTGCAGCCTCGTTGCAGGCACCGAGATTCCACCCCCTGCCCTTTCTCTGTCTGGGTTTCGTTCTGCTTCCTCGCTGACCTTCACCTGCATTCCCCAGCCCGGGACCACCATCCCACGTCCCCCACTGGGGCCTAAAGGGACATCTCGATGTGTGGCGCCTGTTGTGCTCACCTGCTGCCCAGAGCAGGCCCCTGGCCAAACATCTGCATCGGAGAGACCGACCCTCCCCCTCCCCCCAGGTGTCTGTCTTCTCCCCTGTTTGGGGGGGCAAGACTACATTAAAGTAGTCTGCCCATGCTTTTCTCAATTCCTTTGCCAGCCCTGTACGTAGGAAGGAAGAAAAGGGACGTCGGTCTTACATAATTTAGGCAGACTGATTTATAATTAAGGCTTGTTATAGCTGCATTTCAGGATTTGAGCCATAGCATGGCTTGTAGGGAACTAGTTAGGTCCCTATTGTATCTCTGACTCTGTAGGAACTACCACCATATAGAAATAGCTTCAGGAAAATTCTAGATAAATCTCTTGATGAGTTAAGGGGAAGGGAAGTAATCCTGTTTAGCACATTTTCTTGACTTGTAACAAGGGAAAGAAGAGCCGTGGCCCCCCCTCCTTCCTTTAATGCCCCAATCGGAGACCAAATCCCCAGGTGGAGGGAATTCGGGGGTTAACCTGTAGTATCTTTTCTAAGGTTTTTATTCTCTCACAAGTTCTAGGTAGGCATTGCGGCACCTCCCAGCTCCTGTTATAAGGTTATTATTTGAAATGTTTTACCCTGGGGGTTCTCCTCTAAAGGCTCTTAAACTATCTCTGCCCTTGTTCCTGGGTGGTGGGGCCAGACCTCCTTGCATAGAAGTGACTCTAGTTGGTTGGAGGTAACAGAACTCTGAAGGGGCAAGAAGGTCGTGGAACCATACAATTTGGGAGCTGGAAGTACCAGACTGAATAAATATTTAGGTATGGTTCAGTTCATTTTTGAATGAGGAAGCAGGCCTATTAATTGAAAAAGAGGGCTTATTCCCCTACCTGAGGGGAAGACTCCATTTTACACCCCTGCAAGTTTTCTGAGGGCTTGGATTTCAGTGGCTCCCCTGTCCTAACCAAATGAGCTTTCCCTTTTTGTCAGGCTTTGTCCTAGCTGGAATGGGTTAAAAAAAGCAGTAGCTGAAGGAATAAGCTTTAGTGACTGATTTTTCAGTTAGCAGAAATGTGTCAAATACCAGGTCTCCCTGCACCTTCATCTGAGTGAACAAGTTGGTGACTGGCAAACATTTAGAAATTCCCTACCATGTACCAGGCATTATACAAGACAGTGGAGAGATGCATAAAAAAAGTAGGCAAGCTTCTCTTCTAGGAGGATACAATATATTCACAGATAAGTAGTGGATCTATACCAAGTGATGGGGGTTGGTGGCCCTTGAACTGAGCCATAAGGAGGCTGGGGGTTCTAACATGTAGAGTTATAGAGGGAGAGCATTTCAAGCGTGGGAGACAGCTTTGGCAAAGACTGCAGATGAAATATAACATACAAGGACTAGCAAGTAGGTCAGTTTGATTGGAACATAAAAGTTCATGTGGGAGAGTAATGTGTTATCAGCCCGGAAAGAGAGTAGACTTGGAAACTCCTCATTGATAGTTTCTTACACTAATGGCCACAAAATGCTCAGGGGTGGGGGTGGGGGCTTAAAATACATGGATGGAACCCATAAATGTTGACTCCCTGAATGATGGGTGAGTGATGGGCCTAGAGGTTTGTAATTCTTCCACTATGAAGACTGGTTGAGGGGATTCTTAGAGCGCAGTAAGAGAAATTAAGCCTGTCTTCATGCTGAAAACTTTCCACAAATATAAAGTTTTTGATGCATACTTCAATATTCTTAGCAAAAGACGTCACTAACGTTGACATTTTTCTCTGAGAACGCTTATTCACATGGTACAGTGCTTCTTAAACTGTTTAAGAAGCACTGATTAGGGGTCATGAGTGGGAAAAGTTTAAGATGCTCCTTAGGAGCATCTGTATTAGACAAGTCACTTCACGTCTGAGCCTTTGTAAAATAAAGGCTTTGAACTAAATTATCTCTAAGGCCCTGTCTGGTCTAAATTCTAATATCCTGTGGAACATAGTTTGAAGAACCTCTAGTCTACTCAATCCAGTTCTTCTGCTTGAGTGTCAAGGCCTTCCCCAGGATGGCCAGCACAACTTGTTCTTTCCTCCCTAACCTGCATTCTCTGCTTCAGCCAGGCTGATTGAGTGATTCTGTGAACAAAGCTTATTCTTCACCTTAGTTCATATTATTTCAGCCTGCTCCCCTTCACACTTGGAATGCTCTTCCTTTTCCTCTCCATTTTTCTAAGTTTTATGCATCTTTTAATAATCGATTTTCTTCAGCCTGTCTTACCTGATTTTTCTGAATTTTAAAAACAATAACTTAATTAGCAGTTCTTTTCTCCTTCTTTTCATGCATGTTAATTTTGTCTTTCCAAGTAGATTATGAGCCTTTTTAGGGTATCTCTTATGTTACCAAGCACAGGATGGGATGCTCAAAGAGTTAGAAGAGGCCTTAAAAATTATCCAACTCAGTCCTTAAAAATCAAGCTGACGCCTTCATGTGAGAAAGTAGGCTCAAAGGAGTGAAGTGACTTGTTCACAGGCATACTCTCTATTAGCATCAAACTTGAAACTGGATCTTAAGTTACTTGATTGAATATTTTTTCTGCTGTAGTATTTCTCAAATCATTGTTTTCTGTTGGAATGTAAGCTTTTCAAGGGCAAGACCTATTTCATTTCTGTCTTTGTGTCCTCAGCACCTAGAATAGTGCCTAGTACAATAGCAGATAATTTATAAATGATTGTGGACCCAATGCCAGATCCAGATGAGTCATGGGAAGGCCTGGAAGGGAAGGGGTTAGAGTCCCAATGCCCAGAACAAAGTAGGTCCTGAATAAATGCCTGTTGAATGAATGATATACATATCAGGTTTCAATTTAACTGCCTTGAAGTTTGACCATATCCTGCCATCCTCTGTCATGTCAGACTCGGAGATTAGACCAGAGGTCCCCCAAGAGGCATCTACTGGTAGTGTCAAAACTTTGAGACATCAAACCCAAACTCTAGAATGTCAGTTTGAAGATCCTAAATTTCTTCTGTCCCACCCTATCCTGCCCCCTCCAGATCTATTGTATCTCCATTGTTTATTGGTGGGTTAAGGCTTTAATTAGGAAGGGACCGTAGTATAGTAGAAAGAATGTTTTTACTTGGACTCAAGATAACGTGGATTCAATTCTGAGCTCTCATACTAAGGTGTGTGATCATGGGTAAGTTGCTCTACATCTCAGGACCTCAGTTTCCTCATCTGTAAAATGGGGTTAGTCATACTTTCCCTATCTCACTGGGTTATTATAAGGAAAGTACTATGTAAACATTAACGCATTCTGTGCAAAAATGTGAGTTTTTTCTCTAAAATTATTGTGTTACCATATCAATCTGTGTTCTGTCCTCTCCCTCAAAACCTTCACTAATTGATCCCTCCTACTAGTGAATTGCCCCTTTATTTCCACATCCCCATAGCACAGGTGTGTAGCATACCATAAAATTACTTTATATAGTTTATTAATTGTAAGTAAAGTATAACCTGAGCCACATTTTAAAGGTATTAAGGGAACTTCCCTTGAGGAATCCTTTTAATAAATCATAGACCAGCCCCTGATTTCTGTTTTTATGTATTGAGATTCTTTTTTTTTTCTTAAAATGTATTTAAATTTTCTTTTCTCTCTTTTTCACTAACTGAAGTCATCCACAAACATGAACATTACTGTAGACAAAGAACAAAAAAGAGGGTTTTATATGGAACTGAACATCAGTTACATATTTCATATATCACATGATAGGGGCCTTTTGGTCATATACTGCTTTGATATCCTTTATGCTACTTTGTGTATGTAATTCATTATTTGTAGTATGCTATGGCCTACTTTCATCTACCGTACTTTAGTTACATTTCAACAATCTGCAATTTTACTTTCTCTGAGACTATAGTATCCCATGAGTCAAAGCCACAGAATAATGCTGGAAGGATGTTGGTGTTATGAAGTAAATGGTATTTCTATACCCAGGGCTTAGTACAGCGCTTTGCATATGGTAAATGTTTAACAAATGCTTCATTCATTCATAATGTTGGGGTTTTGTTTTAGAGAGAAGCTTAGAGTTATTGAAAGCTCTGAGAAATTTCCCAGACGCGTTCTAGCCTGTTTCCTTCCTCCTCCTCCTCTTCTTTCTCCTTCTCAATTCTGAGGCCAATTCATTGTCCATCTGTATTGTGTATCCAAAATATATGTACTGTTGAACTGGCCATATAGGTTGTCTAATTACATATCTTAGTCTGGACAATATGTTTTCTTTATCTACTTTTCTTTTTCCTATGTGGATAGTTAGACCAAATTCTAATACTAACAAAATTTATTTTAGGCTCTCAGTAAAATGATTAATCCATCTGGTGCTTCTTGAGAGTCTTCTGCATGCAAGGAATTGTTGGGGATGTGGGGAAACACAAATAACTATAAGACCTGATTCCTCATCTCAAGGAGCCCTCTCTAGGGGCAGTCATTACAGTTCCAGGATAGCCCAGGTTTCTCTGAAGCAGCCAAATGCACTGTCATACCTTCTGAAGGGAACTCTCACTGCTGTTGAAGCCAGGTATTCACTAAGCAGTGAGTGAGGTTGAGGGGAAGGCATAAAATAGCAAAAAGGAACAAAAACAAAAGCTTACAAATAGCAATAAATTTGAGGTTTTCAGTTTTGATCTTATGTCCTCATATAATGCTGCTTGTCTTCCTGCTTTAGGCTGGAAATTCTTACAGGAAAGAGAAACCCTTTTACTTTTATAATGTCTTTCCTACTCTGTACAGTGAGTGTTTAGTAAATGAAGTTGACTGTATATCAGGGGCTGTTTGAACATATTGGTCCTGGAAGGAGGTAACAACTCACATTTCTGTAAGCACTTTACAGTTTACAAGGTACTTTGCTCTAGGTAGAATATTGGGTCTCAAGTCAGGAAGGCTTAAATTAAAATCTAGCTTTTGATACTTACTGTGTGACCCTGGCTAAGTCACTTAACCTCTGTCTGCCTCAGTTTCCTCATCTGTTAAATGGGGATCAATAATAACAGCACCTACCTCCTTGGGTTGTCTTGAGGACAAAATGAAATTATTGTCAAGTGTTTTGTAAATCTTGAAATGCTATATATATACACTAGCTAATATTATAGATGGTATAAAGCTTATTGGCCCTTTTTATAGATGAGGAAACTGAGGCCCAGATTGATGAAATGTACAATTGTAAAATCTTAGCTGTAGTGTGGTCTCAGAGCCCAAAAAAAGCTTTGAGATCAAGAGCAATGAGTTGAGACAGTTTCTAAGAGGTGAATTGAGTGACTGCCCAGCTGGAACTTGAACCTGGGATGATGGTCCCCAGCTAGTTATTCCAGTGATGGCCGTGCCTCTCAGAGCCTCCCCTCCTTGAGACTGGGACTCTGCTTCCATAGCTCAGACACAGTTCTCTGCCACTGTCTCTTTGTTGCTGATTATGGTAAGTGGAGATGACTTCCTCCTACCCTCTCACCCCTATTTGTTTTTGTCTCTCCTTGGGTTTAGTCTCAGGAATGGGACACCAGCATACAACACCCAGCGCCTCCAGCATCTCCTACAGTCCCTCAGCGAGAAGCCCAGATCCAGTCAGCTGAAATCTCACTGCTGGCTATCCTGGCTTCCATTCAGGCTGTGGAGCAAAAGGTAGAGTCCCAGGCTGCCCGCTTACAGACCCTGGAGGGGCGGACAGGGACGGCAGAGAAGAAGTTGGTTGATTGTGAGAAGACGGCAGTGGAGTTTGGGAACCAGCTAGAGGGCAAATGGGCCGTGCTGGGCACCCTACTCCAGGAGTATGGGCTGCTTCAGAGGAGGCTGGAGAACATGGAGAACCTGCTGAGAAACAGGAACTTCTGGATCCTGCGGCTTCCCCCAGGCAGCAAGGGCGAGGTCCCCAAGGTAATCTCCTGGTGGATGCTAGCTTGGCACATAACATTCTTAAAAGGCCAGTGGCAGCAGGCTTAGAGCCGGGCGAAGGCATACTTCTTTGTCTCTAACGCTAGTCAACCAGTTATTCGGAGGAGCTTTGGGATATTTGGGGAGGACAAGTATAATCATCCTGAGCGGAAGAAGAGGAAGAGCTCTGATCAAAGGGGTTGGTGTGTATAGGGGGCTGTCACCATGACAGGTATACTAGGAACTGACTATAAAGCAGAGAAGAAACCTGTCAAGACCTCTAAGTAGCCTGCAGCTTGGAACTGGACGTGGGAGGGCATAGGGAATAGGAAAAGCAAAACTAACCACTTGACCCTGTTCAACCTCGAGCAGCTTGAGGCCTAGTGGAGATTAACTCTTTATTTACTGGAGTTTTATTGGAGAGCTCCAGAAATCCTCAGGATGAGAGGTGGATATCAGATGTGACTCTGGGTGTGTCCGTGTACTGTTTTCCAGGTACCTGTGATTATTGAAGATGTGGCTGTATATTTCTCAGAGCAGGAGTGGGGGAACCTAGATGAGTGGCAGAAGGAGCTCTACAAACATGTGATGAGAGGAAACTATGAAACATTGGTGTCCTTGGGTAAGGGGCTGTTCTCTCTGTGTTAACAGCTCTGGAGTCTCTATAGACATCTTGTTTTAATTTTTACCCACTGGCTTGGCTACGTAAATTAGAATCCTATATTTGAGATGTGAAAGTAACTTTGAAAGAACATCTGATACAGGTAAGGCAAGAAGCGATGATTTGCTCAGGGTTACAAGCTAAAAAAAGGGGAATGTGCAAAAAACCTGGGATTCCCGCCTTTCTAGCGTAATGCCATTCCTGTTATTCTGTGGGTGGTTATTTGTATAATGGTATATTTCCCTGTACTGTGCTGTAAGCTTTGAAATGGTTAGTGGCCTTGTCTTATATCTTTGTGTCTCACAGGGCTTAGCAGAGGGCCTCATTCATTGTATGTGTTTGATAAATATTGGCCAAATATGTGGTTGGTGATGAAGCAACTCCTAACAATGACTCATTAACCTCTCTTCATTTGAGATCCTTACAATCCACATCTTCCACTCAATGAAAATCATAGTAGCTATTTTCTACAGACTTTCAGGACATTCTCCTTTCTTCCTTAATGAGTTTCAGTACTTGGCTCACAGTCTTTCTCAACTCCTACCCTCAAACTAGAGGATTTCAGCATATATATTGACACTCTCAAACACCACAATTATTAAGTTCCTTAACCTACTCATTTCCCATGACCTACTCCCCTACACCACTTCAACCACACACAAACTGGTCATACCCTAGATCTTGCCGTTGCCGCAAATATACCACCTCCACATTCAAGAACTTTGAAATCCCCTTATCTGATCATAATGTGTTGGCTTTCTACTTTCCTGTGCCTTCCCATACCAAACCCTACTCTTCATCCATACTATGACCTTCAGTCCTTTTAACCTCTCAGTTCTCTCTCAGGCTGTCACCTCTGCACTGGCCACTCCCTCCTTTTCTCCCCATCTTGACCCTCTGGCAAACCAGTTCAGCACTACAGTGTCTTTTTCATTGGAGTACTTAGACCCCTCATCATTTTGCCTGTTATTCCCTGCCAGGCCTCAGCCTTCAGTCACTCCCACCATCTGTTGCCTTGACTGCTACACTTGTGCTACTCAACAGAGGTGGAGAAAATCATGCAACCATTTTCACTGGGTCCTCTACAAATTTATATTCTGCAGTCTCAACCAAGCCGTCACTGCTGCTACGTAATCCCATTCCACAACAGCTCTTTCAGATCTTTTCATCCCTCCTGAAACTTTCATGGCTCAGGGGCAGCTAGGTGGCACAGTGGATAGAGCACTGGCTCCAGGAGGACCTGACTTCAAATCTGGCCTTAGACCAAACGCTTGACACTTACGAGCTGTGTGACCCTGGGCAAGTCACTTAACCCCAATTGCCTAAAACAAACAAACAAAAAAACTTTCATGGCTCCCCCTCCCTCCCTCCCCCTCATATCCTTGCCTCATATTTCACAAGAAAATTTGAATTCATTCATCGTAAGCGCCCACTTCTCCCCTCTTCCTCAACTGTCACTCAAGTACTTTCTGCCACTATCTCCTCCTTCACTCCTGACTCACCTCACTCCTTACTGAGGCTAATCCCTCCTCTTGTTCAAGAGCGCCTGTTCCATCTCATCGCCTCCAGAAGATTGCCTCCTCTCATTCCCATTCTTCCACTTATTTTCAATCTCTTCCCCTTTTCTGCCTCATTTCTGGCTGCCTACAAACATGTCCATGTCTCCCCCATCCTGGAAAAAACCCTCACTTGACCTTTCTGTCCCCACTATCACCTTATATCTCTTCTCCCCTTTGTGGCTAAACTCCTTGAAAATGGCCATCTACAATAGATACCTCCACTTTCTCTCTCACTCTCTTCTTAACCCCTTATAGTATGGCTTCTGATCTCATCATTCCACTGAAATGGCTTTTCTAAGTTAGCAGTAGTCTCCTCATTGCCAAATCCAATGGCCTTTTCTCAGTCCTCATTCTTCTTGACTTCCCTGCATTGTTTGATATAGTTGATCATCTTCTCCGTGATACTCTCTTTTCTCTAGGTTTCCAGGACATCACTCTCCTGGTTCTCCTACCTATCTGAGCTCTTTCTCAGTATCCTTTGCTGGATATTTATACAGCTCTTACCTAATTGTGGGTGTCCCATAAGGCTTTATTATGGACCCTCTTCTCTTCTTCCTCTTTACTACCTCACTTGGCGTTCTCATCAGCTCCCATGGATTTAATTACCGGATGATAGGGATCTATGCTAGTGATTCTCTGATCTAATTATCCTGCCCTAACCTTTCTGCTGACCTCCAGTATCACATCACCCACTGTCTTTTATACATTTCAAACTGGATGTCCACTTAAATGTCCACTTAAATCTTAAACTCGACAAGTCCAAAATTGAATTCTATATTTCCCCAAACCTTCTTCCCTTTCAGATTTCTCTGTTACTGTCAGGGGCCCCACCCCATGCCCCTCAGGCTCACAATCTGTAGGTGTGTGTAGACACACACCTTCTTTATACATATTTGTTTGTTTATTGTCTCCCTCATTGTATTGAGAGCTCCTTGAGGAGCTTTCTTTTGCTTCTTTTTGTATCCCCAGCCCTTAGTACAGTGCATGGTGCGTAGTAGGCATGTAAAAAATGCCTGTTGACTGACTGACTGAGGCTGGGGGAAGAGTGAAAGGAGAGAATGGAACCTTAGTTCCCCTGTTCAACAGTGTGGTCCATGCTCAACAATCTGTTCTTTCCCAGATTACATGGATAAAAAGCCACATGTGTGTGTTTGTGCTGTTTGAAACGTGGTTAGGATCAGTAGATGACTGTAGGCCTCTCAATGACCACTTATGCGGGCTGACCCATGGGGAATATGGACAAGATAGGGAACAGTGGGACATGGAGATAGAAAACCTGCAAGGCCCAAGTTGTGGGAATTCGTTCCCCGTAACGTCACTGGGCCACATGAAGGGCCTCATGGTTTTCCCTTCTTAGTTTCCTGCTCATCTCATTTGACTGTTAGAGGATTAGAATCCATGACTTCAGGTTCTAGATGTAAACAACCTAGGTCATGTCCTTTCTAACACTTCCCCTTCTTCCCTACCAGATTATGCCATCTCCAAGCCAGATCTCTTATCCCGAATTGAACAAGGGGAGGAGCCGTGTGGCCAAGAGCTCTCGAACACAGAGGAAAGAGAGAACCCAGTCCATCCCAGTGCTGGTGAGTAGCTGTGCTGCTGGAGGGGATGGAAGAGGGATCTTAGTCAGCTACTGGCAGTACCATGCCATGGAAAGAATTGGAATACCTGGGTCATTTCAGAGTAGGAAGGGACTGAGGAAGCCATTTCTCTCATCTTACATATGAGAAAACTGAGTCCTAGAGAACTATAGGGGTTTTTTTTTGTTTGGTTGGTTTTTTACCCATGGTCATACAACTAGAGACAGAGCTAAAACTGGAATCCTAGGTCTCCTTATTCCTGGGACATTGTTGTTCTTATTACAGTAACCAGATGTTCTGCCTTGGGTAAGTCTTTTAATCTTTTGGGACCTTGGTTTCCTCATGTAAAATTTTTGAAAAAAATAATTGATTAAATAATGTCTAAGATTTCTTTTAGATATAAAAATCTAGCGTTTGATCAAACATCGTGTTAATAAAACCAAAGCCATAGGTTTTTCCCTTGTATGACCTGGTTAGTTTTATTCACTAGCCTAGCCATATGCTCATCATTAAGCTTCATCATAAGTCTCTCTCATTATCAAAAGGGGTAACAGAACTATTGTCTTCTCTTCCTAGACTCTGGGTAGAATTTCCCTCAAAGAAGATTGGAGCATGACACTATATACACAGATTCCAAAATAGTCTGGGCTGATCCTTCTTGGGATGTTTCTTTTCTTTTTTAATATTTTACTATGAACTTAACCATCGAGAAATATAGGGGCAGCTAGGTGGCGCAGTGGATAAAGCTCTGGCCTTGGAGTCAAGAGGACCTGAGTTCAAATCCAGCCTCAGACGCTTGACTCTTAGTTGACTCTGGGCAAGACACTTAACCGTGATTGCCTCACCAAAAAAGCAAAACGAAAAAAGCCCAAAATATGATCATTTCAGTATTCTAATAACGTTTGTTTTCGTTATGCATATGTTTGAAACGTATTATTGATTCTCTTTTTTCTCGTGTTTGTCACTATTCACTAACTGGCTTAGTACCCCTAGGTAGAAGCTTTTCTTTGTAAATATGTGTAGTCGAGCAAAATAAATCAATAAAATTGTCATGTCTGAGAATGTGTTTCATTCTGTATCTCTAGTCTGTCCCCTTTCTACCGAGAGATGGGAAGCACGCAGCTAAATGGTGCAATGGATAGGGTGCCAAGCGTGGAGACAGGAAGACCCGATCTCAAATCCAGCCTCAGACTCTTACTAGCCATGTGGACCCTGGGCAAGTCACTTAACCTCTGACTTACTCAGTGTCCTCAACTGTGAAATGGGGGTAATAATCCAGGGTGAGGATCGACAAGGTGATATTTATGTTGAGCGCTTAACACTGTACCTAGTAATAGAATAGACATTGGATAAAGGCTTCCTACCTCCCTCCCCTCCTTATCGGTCTTTCAAAGCCGTGATTGGTCACTTCTTTTATCAGCATTCTGAGATCTTTCAAAGTACATTAGTGAATTTGCTACGTAGATTATGCCGTTGATTCTGTTCATTCCATTATGCTTCAGTTCATGCAGATCTTTCCATGTTTCTCTTCTGATATTTCCATAGTTCATTCATCAGGAAATTAAAGCCCATTGGGTAAATGCCTCTAGGACTTTTGGCGGGGTTTGCAGCTGGTGTGACAGGATGAGGGGGCAGTGTTACATGGTGCAATGACTGCTGCCTCCAAAGTCTGCTCCTTATGGGATCTTGGGCAAATCACTTAATGTTCCTGAATCTCAGTTTCTTCGTTTGTTTAAAATAATAAAAATAAACGAGTTGGACTCGATGTGGCCTCTGAGGTTAATTCTAGCTCTCATTCCATAATCCTGTGATTCCCTGAGAATAAAGAATAGTTTACATTAGTTCTCAGGTTTTCTGTTGAATCACAGCAGCTCCTTCAATCAGTCATTTGGTTTTAATAAAATCATACCTCGTTCATCCTTTGCCATATTGTAGAGGAATGGAAAGAACCAAATGTCATAAACCAAATGTGTCTGGACAGCTAGACCTGTTCACTATAGGATAGGGTGAAAGTTCTGGCTTTTATGTGGTATAACACATTGTAGAAATCTTGATTTTATTCCATGAACTTTTCTTTTTCTTTTTTTTTGCCCATTCTCTTTATTTTTAAAAATTGTATTGATACCTTTTGTTTTTATATCATCTACATTTCCTATTATATCCTTCCTCTCCTTCACTCCTTGAAAGAGATCTATCCCCTGTATTAAAGAATAAAAAGGGAAAACTCCTCAGAACTAGTCACCATACCAAAAAAGCATGATGTTATGTGTAGTTTCCCACATCTGTAATCCTCCATGCTTCTGCAGAAGAATGCAGAGTAGGTGTCCTCTTGCATTTCTTTGTGGCCAAGCTTGGTCATTATAATTTCAGAAGATTCAGTTTTGATTGTTAACTCTTTCCACTTAGATTTTTGTAGTTATTGTGTGTGCATTGTACTGGTTCTACTTTACTTTGTATGTGTTCCCATGTCTTCCCATGCTCCTCTGTTTTCATCATGTTCATTGTTTCTTTTTTTCTCCACTCTTTTTTTGGTGAGGCAGTCGGGGTTAAGTGACTTGCCCAGGGTTACACTGCTGGTAAGTGTCATGTGTCTGAGGCCGGATTTGAACCTGGGTCCTCCTGACTCCAAGGCTGGAACTTATCCACTGCACCACCTAGCTGCCCCATGTTCATCGTTTCTTACAGCACAATAATATTTTATTACTTTCATCTGCCGCAATTTGTTTAGCCACTCCCCAGGCAGTGGTCATTGACTTCTATTTCTTGGCTACCATAGAAATCAGTAAGTCAACAAGCATTTTTTTAAGCACTTTCTCTGTGCTAGGGGGTGCAAAGGAAGACAAAAAACAGTCCTTTCAGTGAGCTCACAGTCTAATGGGAGAGCAACATGCAAATAATTATATAGAGGCAAGACATATGCAGGTTAAACTGGCAATAATCAGAGGGTCGACACTGAAATTAAGTGGGACTGACAAAAGGCTTCTTGCAGAAGGTGGGACTTAGCTGAGATTTGAAAGAAGCAGAGAAGCCAGTTGGTGGAAATGACGGGGTAGATAATTCCCAGCCAATGAAAATGCTTTGTATGTGAGTGACAGCCAGGAGACCATTGTCATTGGATTGTAGAGTACATGGAGGGGAGGGAGATGTAAGAAGACTGGAAAGGTAGAAAGGGACTAGGTTATGTGGAGCTTTGAAAGCAAAACAGAGGATTGTATATTTGATTCTGGAGATAATAAGAAGCCACTAAAGTTTGTTAAATTGGGGTGGTGACATCATCAGACCTTAAAGTACTTAAAGGTCTGCTTGACAGCTGAGTGGTGCATGGATTGGAGAAGAGAGAGATCTGAGGAAGGGAGACCAGCTACCATCAGGCTATTGCAATAGTCCAGGCGCGAGGCATTGAAGGCCTGGACCAGCATGGTAGACGTCTCATGAGGGGAGAAAGGGGCATATAGGAGTGACATAAAATCAAGATTTCTACAATGTGTTATATGGCACCATGTAAAAGCTGGAACTTTCGCCCTATCCTACAGCGAACAGCTCTGGCTGTCCAGACACATTTGGTTCTTTCCATTCCTCTACAATGTGCAAAGGATGAGTGAGGCATGATTTTATTAAAACCAAATATTATACCTTCTACAAAGGTAGAAACGATAGGGCGTGGCAACTTAATAGATGTGGAATGTGACAGAGAGTAAAGAATGACAAAGGTTTTGAGCCTGAGTGACTAGGAGGATAGTGGGACTTTCAACAGTAATTGGGAACTCAGAAAGAAGGGAGGGTTTGGGGAGAAAAATATTGAATTCTGTTTTGGAGATGTTGGATTTGAGATGTCCAGCAGGCAGCTGGAGGTTTGAGACTGAAGGTCTGGAAATAGGTTAGCATCGGTTCATTCAAGTTGAAGTGATTTTCTCAATGTAAGTGGGTTAGCAGAGCTCAGAGTAGAGCCACCTCCTGAGTGGCAGCCCAGTAATTTTTTTTTCTGCCATGCTACACACATATTATCTGAAATCAGCCCTTTGGTCCATCTAGTATATCTGGGAGAGGTCACGTAGGCTATAACACATCAGGGCCAAATTGTGTGCGGAATCATCTGTCTTGCTGCTTTGTGTCTGGCCTCCGGCTTCACCTATTGGCAGCATGGCCCACAGAGTAACAAAAAGCCCAGTGGTTGGTAACCCTTAATTCTTTCTCTCCCCTGTAGAAACAGGTACACTGGTTTCTTCTCAAGATGTACTTCCCTGGATTAAGCAAGAAGGGGGATGCGGGAGGAGTCAACAGAGTCTCCAAGAGAGTGAGATCTCTACCGACCTCTGCACAGGTAAGGGCTGAATCTCTTCTCTCTCTAATTATGGTGTGTATACTGTGGGTGAGAACAGCAGTCAGGGGGGTGTCAAGGCAGGTGTCCATGACTCCCGAGTGGATGTATTAGACACAGCAAAGCCAGCATATCTAGAGATAAATCTTCCTTTTGTGGCCTAGCTGATGTTGCTTTTCTCCAGAAATGTCTACTTTAGTTTTCCCAAGGAACACATCCTTATAGGAAAGGACCTTGGAACTCATCTAGTCCAATCCCCTCATTGTAAAATGAGGACGGTGAGGCAAGGTAACTTAACCATGGTCCAATGATTCTGAGTCACCTTTGGACTTTGGAAGTAATTCCTAGGTTGAGTTTAAACTTTTGACTTAGAACTCTTTCCCAGGGTCCATGCCCCACCTCACTATGGTTGCTCTTCCTTTTACCTAGGGAAAGAAAGAAAATATTTTGAACTTGAGAGCCAATATCAATATCTCTATATCTCATTTGCCTTACCTGCTATGGGCTCCTTTCTCAGGCAACTTGATTTAATAAGTCATTATTTCAACAGGAAAGTTGCCTTGCACTTGATGTCTTCATTGAGCAAGTTTAATTGTCTTTGTGCCGACCTTGTGTTAGTCTTTGGCAGAGTGTGTGTGTGTGTGTGTGTGTGTGCGCGCGCGCATGCATGAATGAATGCAAGAAATGGGCCATATTATTTGAGGGGGCAGTACAATAAGATGGTCCCTGCCTTCAAGGCATTTATAGTCTAGGTAGGGAGATGAGAGTAAGGTATGTGGAACATACGAAGTAATAATACAAAAAAGTCACAAAGTAATTCACAATTAACTGCTGTCCATAAGCAACAGGCAAGTTCCATAGATTCTTAAAGTTTGGGACATGACTGTGAAGTAGAGGGTTCTAAGGAAGGCCTGGTGTAGAAGATGGAACTTGAGCTGAGTCTTGAAGGATAAATAGGATTTAGAGAAATGGAGAGGAAGGAGGATACCCCAGAGACAGTTATAGCATGATCTATTCAGAGAGGATTATAAATCAGAAAGATTGGCGGAGAGAGGCAGTATAAGAAGGTGGTGGAAGATAAAGGTAGATTGAGACTAGGTTGTGGAGATCCTTGAATCCTCCATTACTTCTCACTGACTGGGATTTTAGAACTATAAGATGAAAGAGAGGAATGAGTCATTCCAGCCTCTCACTGGGCCATTGTTTAAAGAAACCAGAGGCAGAAGTGATTCATACGTGTGTGTGTGTGTGTGTGTGTGTGTGTGTGTGTGTGTGTGTGTGTGTGTGTGTGTGTTTTCTCCCAGCAGAGGACTGGCTGGTCAGTAAAGAGAAAGAAAAGAGCCAGGAGAAGGGGTCCAAGGACCTGGAGCCAAGTTGGGTTCTGCAGGGCCGAGACAAGGAGAGCCTTCATCAAGCCCCAGATCTGGGCTTAGGAGGGGGGTCTTGTGAGAACCCCTGCAGTTCGTCCCTCCTTAGAGGTCCAGCTGGCAAATCTGCCCCATGGGAACGAGACTTCAGTGCCCTACCTCCTAGTCCCTACTGTCAAGATGTTCCAGCATCAGTTTCTGTGGAAAGGCCTTATCCCTGTGCTGAATGTGGCCAGAGCTTCAGCCGGAAGGAGCACCGCACCCAACACCAGCAAGCTCTCCACAGCCCTCGTCCCTTTGCCTGTCCTCAGTGCCCCAAGAGCTTTGCCCAACAAGCCACCCTCACCAGTCACTTCCGCATACACACAGGTGAGCGAGCCTACACCTGTGCCCAGTGTGGGAAGAGCTTCATCCACCAGTCTACTCTTACTACGCACTACCGTACCCACACTGGTGAGAAACCCTATCCCTGTGCAGAATGTGAGAAGCGTTTCAGCCGATTGTCGACCCTTTTGGAGCATCGGCGGACCCACACTGGTGAAAAGCCTTACCAGTGCACTGAATGTGAACGTCGCTTCAGCCGCTTATCCACGCTGGTGGAGCATCGGCGGACCCATACTGGTGAAAAGCCCTATCAGTGTGCTGAGTGTGAAAAACGTTTCACGAGGCTGGCTAACCTGACGGTACACCAGAACACCCACTCTGGCGAGCGCACCTACAAGTGTGCCCAATGTGGTAAACGCTTTGCGCAGAAACCCAGTTTCTTGCGCCACCTGCGCAGTCACACACAAGAAAAGCTTTACCCGTGTGGGCAGTGTGGCAAGAGCTTCATTTGCCGCTCCTGGCTGGTTCGGCACCAGGGCAGCCATGTTGGTGAGCTGCCCCGTCCCTGTACTGAATGTGAGAGGGGCTGCCCACCATCTAAAGACCCTCCTGCTGGCCACCTTGGGGGTGGGGGCCAGGAAAGACTGCAGAGTCCTGAAGGCCTCTTGGGAAAGCATGATGGAGAAGGTGCCAGGACTGGGCAAGACCAAAAGGGGCGCCGAGGGGCCAGAGAACCAGGGAGTAGTGCCCAAGTGAGCCTTGGGGAGTCATTGCACAACCCCCATTCATATGTGAAGATGGAGAATGTGGGCTAGCATCCTTGGGAAAACCCTTCCCAGGGCCGAGGGCCAGGTAGGGTAAACTCTCTCTTCTGGAGAATTGAAAGCTCCATCTCGTTGGAAGGGAATATGGGGCACGGACATAGCGTCTCTGGGCATGAACAACCAGATTTTCTCAGGAAGGAAAACTGATGATAAGGGGTGGGATGAAGCACTTGAGGGGGTTTCTTTCTGAAAGCCCAGGAGATGCACTGAATGGGAGCACTCCTCCCAGTTGAGCTTTCATTATACTCTGGACTGACCAAGCTGACTGCAATGACACCAGGGGAGTAGATCCTGGACGGGTGGGAACGGGATGGAAATACAGACTTTACTCTCCTCACTGTTCTGAGGTGGGAAGCTCAGGCCTGTGGTTGCTAACTGTTTCCTTAGAAGCCATGAGTTTTTAAGGGGAGTAAACTTTTAACTATGCAGATTATGAAGCACTTCCTCAGAATGGATTGAAGGTTCCCCATTGACAGGTATTCTAGTTTTACTGGTCCCTATCATCTCATTTTTAAATGACACTGCAGGGACCAGTGCTCTTCTTTTGTACCTCTGTACCCTTCACTAATCCCTGTCTTGCCATGAAGGCAAGGGCTGGAGGATTCTCATAGCTCTGCCCTCACTTAGATGTGTGTAGATGGGCAGTGGTTGCCAGAGCTCTCCAGAGGAATTAACTAATGCTTCCTGTGCCACCTGGCTTGGACAACGTAAGGACACATGGGCTCAGTATTGGCACGTGCTTGTTTTGCCTTCCAGCTCCCTCCTCTATGAAACGAGATTGTACCAGATGACCTCTAGGTTCCCTTCCAGTTCTGAATCTACGATCCTGAGAACTCTTCCTGAAAGTATTCCTGTGACATTTGCACTAGGTAGTGCCCCTGGGTACTCACAGGCCTCCTCTGAAGGTATCTGAAGTTTCACTAAGGATGAGCTTTACCTAGCACAGATTTCTGATTCCAAGGTAATTATGATCCAGCTGCAGATGGGCCTGGAGCTCATACCACATCTACACCTGGTTCTGTTTGTTTGTTTTTCAGGTTTTTGTTGTTGTTTTTGTTTTTGCCTCAGCTGTATTTGAGATTTCTAAACTTTAATAAAGCGCAGTATTTTGGTTTTTCATTTTGGGTTTTTTTTTTTAAACTGCTCTAAAATAGCCTAGTTCTTCTGTCATCCATGTGAGCTCAAGGATAGTGTCCTCATCCTTGGCTCCCTCCAAAGGGCTAGAAGTGAAATTCTCATTTTTCAGAGCTTGTGTACCCCTACCACTAGGCTATCCAGTACTCTCCTGTTTCTGGCCTCAGAGGTGTCCCTTATTTTCAGCTCTCTTATAGAGTAGGAAATGACTGACAGATCTGAACCCAATGACTGATCAAGTCTCTCCTAGTTCGGGTTACCAGGTTTACCCAGTTTGCTAAGTTCTCTCCTGTGCGTCATCCCTTCAAGTGGCCTACTCCCCAGAGAGGAATTATTTTCCAGAATTCTGTCCTTATAGTTTCACATTATAAAATAGTCACACATATCTAGTCCTGTGTTATGGCTGTTGGGGATACAAAAGTTCTCTGTGTTTTTCAGGAGATTATATATGCATATGAAAAAGGAAGTAATGATACCAAGAGCTACTTGAGTACCCATCCCAAGAATTTAGAGGGCCTCTCCTCCTTTTAAAAAAAGTCCTTGATAAATTTTAGGCCTATGCTGTTTGGGAATTTTAAGACTGAATTTGAACAGATAACCAGTTTGGGACTTTAGGCATTTTCCTTTGCAGGAAATCTTTGCCAAAGCTGGACTGATTGACCCAGCCAATTGAAGACTTTCCCATGCTGCACCCACAGCTGCAAAGATCTCTTCCCTTGGCAATTGATCTTGAGGATAGCATTTGAAATACGTCTAGATGTTTGGGTGCATATCCTAATGTATTTTTTAAGAACAGGTAGGAAGAGTTGCTACCTATTCCCATTGTCCATCCCTTTCTTGCTTCTGGGGTATATTGGGAAACACTAGCAAAACTTCTCATCTTGAGATTGCACTGGGGGAACAGTCCAGTGCTGCTTCTTCCATTGCCTCATGGCGTTTGAGGCATTTATATGTTTGATAGGTGGGCAGCAAGTGTTTTGGAACTTCTATGGATTGGTTAATTGTCACGTATACTTACAAACTCTGTAATTAGGCAAAGTATTTATGCAGTTTTGAGGTTGAATTTCTCTCCTTTTGCTTGTTCTTTTGATGGTCATCTCTTATTTATGATGCAGTAACTGTGTTTTTGACTGCAGGATCTGAGCAGTGGTGAAATAAAGCTATTTTCAAATGTGCAAAACTCTTTGAAGATTTTTTTTTAATGTTTACAGTGGAGTCTCCAGGGGAAATGGCAGAAACTTTGTCCTAAGAGCATGTTAAGAAAAAGAGAACTCGATTCAGTTCATCAAATTTTTATTTGTTATTGGCTCTGTGCAGGGGAGAACAGAACGTCAGTCCCAGGTGACTTTTTCCATGGTATTGGGTAAGTTTGGCAAAGCACCTATCCAACATGCCTCAGCTTCTGTGGTTATGCCCATCTGCTTCCTAGTAACTGTCCTTCCTATCCTGCAGGTCACTTGTGTTGCCCAGCTTGGGCCTGCCCTGCTCCAAAATCCTTAACTCACAATCCAATGCAGAATGGCAGAAATATCAAATACATCCTTTTCAGATCATGATGTAATAAATGGCCATGAAAAGATAGACTAAAAATTCATTGGAAACTAATTAATCTAATTTTAAGGAACAAATACGTCAAACAACAAATCTTGGAAACAATCAGTAACTTCATCCAAGAAAATGACAATTATAAGACAACATACCAAAACTTAGGGATACAGCCAGAGCGGTTCTTAGGGGACGTTTTATGTGTCTAAATGCCTACGTGACTAAAATCGAAAAAGAAGAAACCAATGAATTGGGCATGCAACTAAACAAAGCTAGAAAAAGAACAAATTAAAAATCTCCAATTAAATACCAAATTAGAAATCTGAAAATCAAAGGAGAGATTAATAAAATTGAAATTAAGAAAACTATTGAACTAATAAAAGTAAGAGCTAATTTTATGAAAAAACCAATAAAATAGATAAACCTTTGGTTAATTTAATTTAAAAAAAAAGAAAGAAAACCAAATCACCAGTATCAAAAATGAAGAGTGAAATCACTGCCAATGAAGAGGAAATTAAAACAATAATTAGGAACTGTTTTGCCCAACTGTATGCCAATAAATCTCATAGTCTTAGTGAAATGGATGAGTATTTATAAAAACATAAACTGCCCAGATTAACAGAAGAGGAAATAAAAGACTTAACCCCATTTTAGAAAAAGAAATTGAATACTCCATCAATGAACTCCCTAAAAAAAACCTCCAGGGCCAGATGGATTTACAAGCAAATTCTACCAAATATTTAAAGAACAATTAATTTCAATACTATATAAACTATTTGGAAAAATAGGTGGAGTCCTACCAAATTTCT